AACAAATTCTACAACTTCACAAATTTCTGTGTAACTTTAGACAAATATTTACGATAATACGAAATGAAAAATCAAAATCACAAGAAATCAACAACATATACATCTAAAATATTGTAAAGTGATATCTCTCTCTTTGAGCGTCGATTTCGTCTGAATCGCATAACGGTATGTGCATTTCCACATTTGACGCGGATACGTATGATATTCGGGACATAATCTGACGACAGGTCTCTCTTGGACCACCATTTTCTTCCATTTCTAGATGTTCAATAGTAAGCGTTTGATCAAATATATCGTTATATCGGTTCTTCATTTTGCAAGAAGTGGGTCGGCTGGTAGGTGACAGCAGAGAGCGTTGATAATCTTCCACAGCGTATTTTTTATTCCTTAGCTGTAAAATGTAAAAAAAAAAATATCATTATTTTGGAAATATAATATACATTAAGCTAGTTATTGCATACACTTCATTATAAAACAAGTTGAGGAAGAAATAATATATACCTTAGTTTCAATATTCCCATATACGCATACAATTTCACGGACTAGTCCCAATACATTCGCGGCATTGATTTCTTCATTGGCACTATGTTCTTGTTTCCCTTAAAAATTAATAGAATGATATGCACAATTTTATTTTATTTTTCACTTTGTTGTAGCATAAAGTACAAAATCTGAGTAAATTCTTCAAAAATACCGTTTCTGTGTGATTTATGCAGAGATGAAGTGAAACTATAAACGTAAATACATTTGGCGATGTATTCTTTTTACACTTGCTAATTATACAACTAAATGTCTTAAACATATATACATTAATTAAAACCTTAAGAAATGTGTTAAATCAAATCTACGCTAACTTGTTTAAAAATCAATTTCCGAAAATTTGATTTATATAAAGGATTTAAATATCATATATCTTTTTGAAAAATTGATTTATAAAGGATATAACTTACGATTAAATGTACTGCTCTTTCTTGGTTTTTGAAAAACTTCCAGAATGTTGTTGACAAATTTTTTCACGATGTCTAGCATTCCAATTTTTGCAGCTGATGCCACTGTTTCAGCCCTCACTGCTGAAATACTAGTGTTCAGGATTGCCATAAAGATGGTCAACATGAACATTATAACACTTAAAACGTAAACTGAATAAAAGAATTGGGCTGATAATGGTGCTGCAACAATCAGGGGGTCAAGCTTATTTTTACCGATGAAGGTGTTGGCTAGACTTCCACAAGTCTGATAAATTGATTTGTAGCTTTCTAATTTTGAGCCAAAGAGAAGATAGGCGTAAAGAACAAAAGAAAAAAATAAAATCAACAAGAGTGCACCAAAAGCCAATAAATCCTTTCCCACATTTGAAATCACCGAGATTACTTCAGTGAATCGTTTGTTGTATCCGAGAATTTTCAGAATCTGTAATGTAGATATGAACAGAAGAGTTGCAAAAAGGACGTTGAATGCATTATCCCACATCACGATATGTCCATAGTTAATGAACCGATTGGCACCTGTCAATTTATCGTCATAAAACATATCCATTGCCGTATTCGTGTATTTCATCCGTAATATAAACGCAACAAGACAAGAATAAGCAAGGAATGTACAAAGACAGTCCACAAAATTCCATGGTTCTTTGATAAAACGTATACAGTCAATTTCCCTACACTGCAATATTATCTTGAAAAGCATGAAAATGTAATAGAAGAGGAAAACCACATAGCACATCACGATAGTGAAGCCGAGAGATGATAAATTTAATACAGGTTTAAATGCTTGAGTGTCAGTCCATGTAAAAGCACTGCCTACTTCAGAAAACTCCACTAAGTACATGGAATATGTAAAAAGATTGACATTTGGATTGTATATCGTAAACTCAACAAATATTGCACGTGTCTTTCTATCAATCCAGTTATTGTCCAAAAGTTCCTTGAGTAATAAGTGGGCATTCACTTTGTCTTTCACAAATTTAAGAATATACCCCCCTCCACTGTAAGTTTTATATTCTCCCATCCTGGACATCCCCCAGATTTCAACGGCGTCCGTGTACTTCCAGGCCTCGGCAGTGTAGAACCTACTTTTGTAAAGTTCGCTTCCACAAATGGTGTCATTGTACGGTTTCCATCGTAGACAATATGAATTTTTGTCTTCCTCGGTTTCTGAGTAACTGTCCACGCAAGGGTAAGACCACGGTAAATAGGAATAGGGACATGTGCCTACAAATAACAAGTACAGGTTCATTATGAAGATTAATTGATTGATTTTATATTGTTTAACGTCCCTCTCGAGAATTTTCACTCATGTGGAGACACTATCACTTGCCGGTGGAGAGCTGCAAATTTTGTCCTATACTCGGCACTCAGGGCCATTGAGCAAGGAGGGATCCTTTTCATGCCTGCACCTACTGCGACATGGGACCACGGTCTCATCCGAAGGACCGGTCTCCACGTCCCACAGTGGGATTCGAACCCGCGATGTAAGGACCAACTCGTTACTTCGTGACTCTATAGCAGACGCTCTAACCAATGCGTCACACAGGCGCATCAATTATGAAGAAGCTAAAATCTAAAGAAAAGTTTACTGGTTGGTATGGTGTTACAGTATTTACGGCATATTGTGACTGTCTTGTTGGGGTGTTCTATCTTGTCTTTCCATCATACCAAATATTATGTCGGATAAGTTTGAATTTAAACTCACGAGGTCAAAAACAAAGTCTTTAAACAGGCAATGCTCAAGTTAAATAAATAATCTCTCATTCAAAATTATCATCGATGCTTATTATTTTTTTAATTTAGGTTAAGGACAAAAGACCCTCTGCTTTAAATTTCACAGTTTTTCAAACTTCCCAACATTGATTTTCATCAACAGCTGTAGAAGCAGCTTCAAATGGAAAATAGAAGATGTTTGAAGCGATGGTAAGTTTTTAAGAAATGGATTTTATGTCAGAATATGATATGAAGAAGACGTGGTTGTAAGGAGAAAATACAGCTGTGAGGAGGAGTTTTCTAAATATTTCTTCATTTGAAAAAAATTTAATACTAATAAATATATTTTATTTGGTACTTGAAACATTAAACCATTTCTCAAATGGTCTTGAAAAGATACAACTTATTCGATTGATAAGGCTTTTCAAATTGGATAAAATGAGGGTTTTTCTACGGAAAAATGGAAATCTGGAAAACATGGCAAAAGAAATAGAAAGTACTGTTGCCATCATGTGTTAGATTCCATCGAATAGACTACTTAGAGGTATCAATTAGGAAATTCTGTTAATGGAAACTATGGTAGAATTAAGAATTTGAACTTTCAAAGTTATCCCTCTTATCAGAGGGACGGAACCCCATAAGGTCAATGAATAAAGTTAAAAGTATATTAGTAAAATGTTTATTTGGAAAGTTATAGTAACAAGTAATTGTAAACCTGTCAAATACAAACAACAAATCTCTTTTCATTCAAAAGTTTTTACAATATTAATACTTTTAAAAATTAAGTCAGCCTCAAGGTCAAGAGGTCAAAAATAATAGTACCTATGAAAACGTCTTGTCACAGGTAATGCACATGTGAAATATGAAAGGTATGGAGATAACGAACAGTATTGAATATCAAAAGTCCATAAAACAATACAAAACAGGAGCAAAGCAGACACGGACCTCCAAAACATCAGCGGTAGGATCAGGTGCAATGGAGGAGTGAGCATCCTCTGCCAACCGGTCACACCTGCCGTGTTCTAAAAGCCCTATTTTTATTCTAAAGTTATGGGATAAAATGATTGTAACAGACAGCTGGGCAAACTGACGGACGGACAGATTAGTGAGATTTTATCCCACCCACTACGAAAGCCCAGAAGGCTCATTCGAGATTCGAGGGTGGAAATACAATACGAGATTCGAAGTTCGAGTTTCGACATTCAAGATTCAGATTAACCAATCAAAAGCGGGTTCAACATTTGATTATCCCCTTTGTTATGATTTTACTATCAAGAAATCATTCAATATATTTATTTATTTTATTTATAAATGAGTCATTTGATTAAATTACAATGCAAGAAAGAGTGTTATATATATTAGAAGGAAACTAAAATAATCATTGGACTTTTGATCTGCAAGATATACTTCAATTTATATTATAGCTTCTAAATATTAGATAGAATACATATATCAGAAATATATATATCTTTGTATTGTGTACTTTGTTTATGGGGTTGAAGACATATAAATAAAGTTATAAATAAGTGTCAAGTGTCTAAATTTAACAATAATCCTACCCCTACCCACCCACATGCCCATTTTTCCAAAAAAAAACAACACTGTAAATGTTACTTTGTAAAACTTGAAAGGCGGCGTAGTATTGATAAACAAAAATCGCGTTCGTTTTCCTGATGGAGGAAATACATAAAAATTAAGTATTTAATTACTTATCTTCATTCAAGGCTTTGGTTTCTTGAATAAATTAAAAATTATATATACAATACAGGTTGGCAAAATGAATTAAAATAAATGCGGCATTTATTTTATCTTACATCAAATAGTAGATGAGTCTAAATTAGATGCAGAACTATACCGTTATGGTTTTATATTTTAGTCTCTGACCATAGCGTTATGGCCAAAGACTAAAATATACTCTTGAAACCTTAAAACACTACAGTTCGATTCAGCAGTCAAGTCTCACTGATCAAATATACCCTTTATAATGTATATATCTTGAATTTTTGTAGAAACGATTTATTTTTCGAACTTATTATAATCAAATAAAAAGCTGATCTGATAAAAAAAAATTAATTTTTACGATAAGCTATCAAATTTATATACGTATTTCACTATGGTGTTTAAAAAATTATATATGTATTTTTCAAAATTTTCAAATTTTATTTTTTATGTTTAAAAATAACATGCATTATCATTTAGCAAATGACCCCAATATACCACAACGTGGCAAGATATTGCAAAATTTCTCCGAAACAATTTTGATAAAAATACAAATTGATACCCTAAATGCACTGAAAAAATTTGTAATCAAGTATAACAAATATTTTAGAGGTTTGTATGCCTTTTAACCTAAAGTATAATCCAAATATGAAGGAAAAAATATAACATGTTTGGTAAATCAACTATTACATAACTATGGTAAAAAGTATTCAAAAGTAAAAAAAATATTCATTGAATTTTATATAGTCATACACGTAAAAATAAAAAGCAATTATAGTTTTCCAAATTTAGAAAAAACAAGCCTTGAAACATATAAATGACAAAATATAAAATTTCTTTGGTTGGCAAATTAAGGTTTTTATTAAAAGCCTAATTAAACTCTGTGTAAGATCCTATCTTTTAAAAAAAGCACTTGTCAAATGATCAATTTTTAAACGGTGTGCTAATTATCTTTTAGTTCATAGTAAGATCTAATGTAAACAGGTGTTCTTTTGAAAAAATCAGATTAGATTCTTGAAAAGAGCGTTCCTATGGAAATAACCAGTAAAAATATAAAGAACTGAAAAAATACTTTCCTTGGAAAAAAATTCTTCCCAAAAATGATTTATTTATTAACAGAAAAATATTTTTGACTAATTCAATGCAAGCGCAAATGCTAAAAATTTACACAGGGTAAAAATATTGATATAAAGGTACAATGTAATCCAAATATATTCCCTTGTAACCATAGCAACAGTGTTGTTTTGTCATCAAATTTTATCAATATATGATATTGAACTTCATAGATAATTATATTCGAAATACAATGTTCTTGATTCAGCAATAATCTTAATGAGCGAAAAAAAATGCACTGGTACTTTGTTTCCATGGTAACAGATACCCAAAGTTGCAAGGTCCTAAGGATATATTTGGCAATTTTATGTTTTTCCTCCATATATACTGGTCACATGGTTACATTTTGTGTTCATGGCAAAAAAAGTTATTTATAGAATTATATATGCTTTTACTTTATATGTAAGGTCAAAATTTTATTTTTTTTTAAGCCGTTGATTGAATACATAAAACATTTTTTTTGCATTAGCATTTTATGTATTCCAAAAGACCCTTTTGATATTAGATATATCTAAACATTTCTTGAACAGTAAAAACATGAGAACTAGTTTTTATTAAGCCACAGTCAAGATTTAAAGTGGCTTAAAATGATTTTTTAAACCCGCTGTTTGCAATTGAGACACATAGCAACAAAATTTTGTTTGATATTTGTTTCTGGTGCTTGAAGTTTCCAAAATCGGTGACCATGCGTCGCAACGAAGTTTAAGTGGTTACAGAGAATGGCTATTAATATATTTAACGATTTCTTGAAAGTAAAAACATAACAAAGGGGCGTAATCAAATGTTAAACCCGCTTTTGACTGGTTAGTTTGGATCTTGAATTTCGAAACTCGTATTTCGAAACTTGAATCTCAAATGAGCCTTCTGGGCTTTTGTACACCCACCCACGCCCCGCTTTTGCAAAAAGCGCGGACAATAAATATTCTATTAACTCTTGCATTCATCTTTTGATACTGGTATTTCAGTGTTCTACGTAGCATTTTAAAGGGGGAGGGGATCGTGTGAAGTTCGAAATATACTTGAAATACTTTTTACCTGTTTTCATGCGAACCTGGCGGAGACGTGCTGGCCCAACCCGAATACTGGCCATATCTTTGAACCATTGACGATCCAAAACTGTCAATGATTTACCTGCATAACTGGCATTCGGGTAATACGTTGGAATAAACGTGTCATTCATCCAGCTAATGAAATCCTTTCTACCTTTTAACTAATAGATGTAAAATATTGCTAAGACTATAACATTAGGACGACAAATGTAGAATATCAAAATATAACAAAAACTTATCAAATAAAAAATCGAAATCATGTTAAGTTTATTTGATTTAGAATTAAATGAAAACAAAACATAGAGAAAATACAATTATAAAACATTGAAAAAACTTACTGAAGAGAAGCCGTGACTTCCTAAAAGCAAATGATTATCAAGGTTTTGCTTCATGCTCAAAGAACGCTGATCACGCTGGGTGAAGCTGATTCCATAGATTGCAAGAATGTATAGGATGAACATGACCAGACTGGTCAGCGCTGATCTAGCTTGAGTTTCCTCGCGACATTTCTTTCTCAATTCGTTGATTTCCTCCTTGGAAAATGCATCACATTTTGGTAAAACTTTGTTTGCTAAGTCTGAAAAAACATGGTAAGAATTTTCAAACATGCAAAATAGCTTAAACGTTTATTTAGCTATTCATGGTCACATCCTTACGTTTATTAAAGTATTTATTTGATCTTTCAAATTTAAATTAATCAAGATCACATTAAACGATGTGGGTTATCTTAGTAAAATTATGTATTCATGGTTTAATCTTACATTTAAAAAAAAAACCATGTTCGTCTACACATTAACCTACCTGAAAAGTTTGTTCTCTGTGATAGATTGGTATTCATCGACGTCAATCGCAATTTTTCTACATTAACTTTGGGGAGCTCTTCCATCATCAAACTTTTAAAAACAGTCGAACAAATAATGGCGAAAAATAGAACCTTTATCGGATCGAAAACTATGAATGATTCCAAAAATGAGAAAACAAGTGATGAAAGCCACTCATTTGATTTTGATTTGTCCCACTCCATACTGTAAAGGATGAGGAAAAAACTAGATGAAAGGATAGCCAAAACAACACTGACCCATGCTACATAAAACACCCAACGTGGCAAAGTGCCTTTACTTAGAGTGAACACATCACCATCAAGATTTGAAAATGATTTGTATGTTTTATCACTGGGTTGTTTTTTTGAATTGGCGATCTTATGTGCAGCAGATTTAGAGTTTCTAGTATTTCGAAATACAAAGGCAGCAAAAGTAACAGGGGGAGTTGAGATAAGCATTCCGATACATGATACATAGACTGTACCGAATGACAATCGAAATATTCCGGAATTCACTTCGTCAACATTTTGATTTTCATCGGACGATCGAAAGAACATGGCATTTGATATCATAGTAAGACAGAGTAGTGCCACTAAGCATGAAAGCCTTTGAACACGTGTGAATTTTCCTAGCTGGGGACGATAAAGCAGAGAAAGCCATAAATGATACACAGGCATTTGGGCTTGAGCTTCCACGGAAATACGATCATTATAGGAAAGGTTGTCTGGCGTTGATACTGGAATTATTCGATCCAGCGTACAGTCTTCATCATCAATACCCAACCATTTGTTGCAATGGAATGTATATCTAAAACCAAAATAGGATGCATATAGTTATTTTGTTAGCGTTAAGAGTTTTTTTTCTAAAGAAAGAATACACATAGCTTTGGTAAATTCTTTATGATATAGACAGTCAAACAGTCAAAAGAAAACGGATAAAAATGACAGTAAGGCACAGTCATCAGAAGAAATTTAAGTATATATGAAAATTCAACAGTTCTCAACATATTCCATATGAAATTTATAAACATATGAAGAATATTTAGCATGTAAGACTTCCTTATCATAAAAATAATAAAACTATGGAAGCTGAACATACCTTTCTCTCTGTTCTAAGTTTTCAATAATGATCTTGCTTAAAAACCAACTTTTGAAACCAGGTGGACCAGAATTATCATGCCATATCCGAATGTATCTTAAATCTCCTAGGGGTTCATTGGTTCCAAAGAAGTACATGTTGACACTTGATGTCGAAAATCCCTATCAAAAGGTTTTTATGAAATTATTCATACTCCGTATTGAGGACGCAAAAGTTCATTTAAGCATTGATGCTACTAGTATAAAAAATGTAAAATTGCTGCATTTAATGATTATACGCCCGGATCGATAGGTCAAGGGCGCATAGTGTTTTTTTCCTGTTTGACTGTTTGTCTGTTTGTCTGCAATCTTTAACCTAGCCATAACTTTTGAACCGTTATAGATAGAGACTTCATATTTAGTATACATACTCCACTAATAATGTTCTTTTAAATGGCACCAAGGTCACTGACTTTGTGACCTTCACTGTTAACTACAAGCTAAAAATAACTTTTTCGAACCTTTGCCATAACTTTTGAATCATAAGAAGTAGAGACTTCATATTTGGTATGTATACTTCACTAATTAAGCTTTTTTAAATGGCCTCAAGGTCAATGACCTTGTGACCTTCACTGTCAAAAATAGCCCTTTTGAACCTTTGCCATAACTTCTGATCAATTAGAGATAGAGTTTATATTTAGTATGCATACTCCACTAATTAAGTATTTTCAAATGACACCAATGTTACATTGATTGTGACCCATATGCTTCAAATAGCTTTTTGAACTTTGTTGCCACCGGGCGCATACAGTTTCACAAACAGATCTTGTCATGATAATAATTTTGGAAATGAAGTCGGGTTTCAAGTTATTCATAAATATGCCTCATACAGTGATAATTTTCAGAAAGGATTTATGAGCTTTATACATTAATTGTACTTGAAACATTTTAAATGAAGCGCAGTTTTCTGAAACGCCCTAATTTTCTTATTGGCAGAGACATTTTATAAAAACGATTAACAAATCAGTGTTCTAGGTATGCTTACTTTAAGAATGACTATCTCTGCAAGGAAAATAGAAAAACCATTTGGCGCATTATTCATTGTAAAACCATTAAAATAAAATCCACACCTCTTGAAATCCGTCATTTAGAAAACGAATTCCTGAATCATCATCATCACCAGTGAGTATGAAATATACATTAGATTTAGTACCCGCTCCTCTCCGGAATCCAGTGTATACACTTATCAAATAGAAGTACGTATGCGTTGTAATGTGGTCACAGAGAAAGGATACCTTACTCTGCAAAATAATGTGAAAATACTCATTTAATTGTCACAAACTAACTAATAAAGTATTTGTATGTTTTCATTTCCCTGATCGATATATTTTTTCTATGATGTCTTGAATACAATTTCTATTCTTGCAAAAATGAAGCAAATAATGATATACAATACTTTTTTACCCTGCTTCGGTCCTTTTTGTCCTGTCTTCGAAGCACAATAAGCAGTATTATATAAATAACAAAGACTACAACCAGTGCGCCATACACTGTAGCATTGGAAGCGTCAAATTTACCCCAAACTGTCAGAAAATTAATCGCATTAGCTGGTACATAAAAGGAGGTTGAAAAGGTGTCTCCAATACATCGACAGACCGTGTTGTTCAAATCACTCATTGGCAAAACCTGAAAAATAAAATTAACATATCATCCAGAAACAATGCCCCTGGTCCTTAGTCAATACATTTCCTTACACTTAATTCTGAATATAACACAAACTTCATTTGAATAAATCTAATGAACATAAAAATGTTTCATGAAAACGATGGAACAAGTAAATATTCAATTTTGGTGATTGGTCATTTTAGAATTACATTGATGTAGCACTACATAACAAGCTCTGAATATGATTCGTTTTTAAAGGGAGACATGTGTCAGACAAGTAAGTTGATGTTTCAAGGCTCCATATACTTGCATACTTGTGGTTTTTCGATACTTAGAGTGTTGACATATTTTAGCATTATTATTCTTTGGTTTTTTTTAATATTACAAGTTGAAAGATTACGAACCTCATGATAAAAAAATACGAAAATATCTATATCTGTATTTACTGTAAACCCATAAATCTTTGAAAATGTTACAGTGGTTTAAACATCCTGAAATCTTTATTATTTTTTTTAAAAGTCTCCAAACAAGTATTTTGTAAGACCTCTATTATAGACTTTGTAACGATATATATTTTCTGTAAAGGGATATTGTTAAATGTACCACATACCAAAACGAATATCTTCAATATTTTAATATTTGAGAAAAGTTAGCAAGAAATTAACTGAATAGTTCTTGGGAATAGCTACATTTGCGTTTAAAAAGAAAACAGCTATGAGGCAAACCAGCAAGGAATTTTAAAAGGCGTTAAAAATTTTCGACGTAATCATATTTCTAACCAAAAAATCCTTATATATATATATATATATATATATATATATATATATATATATATATATATATATATATATATATATATATATATATATATATATATATATATAATAAACAATTTTCATATTTAACCTCACACCCTTCCATCGTCCACAAGTTCTTTCCGTTTTCCCAGGTTCGACATCCCGTAGTTGTGAATATCAGGCTAAAGTTTGCTTCAACTGGAACAAAATCCGCAGCGTTAACAATCAAGGTCGCGTTCTCTGGTGGCCTGATAGTTGTTTGAGAATAGGTGGCTCGTCTTTTTCTTGATCCAGAGAAGTCATCTGGGACAGGGGCTAAAAGTCATTGTGTTTTTCAATGAACCAAATTAAAACACTTAATTTTTGGTTAATACCAATCTTATATTAAAGGCAATGTCATTATTGCACATGCCTTGTTTTTGCATCTTTTTGTTTTTAACATTCGATAACAATACCCAAAACTCTTACTTTATCCATAATTCGAACCCTATTTATTTGTTCTCTCAAACTTTATCTTTATTTTTGGCTTGAAAAAAGAGTCAGGTTGAAAGCAACTTAACTATGATACGCGTCATATTTAGAATATGTTCACCTGCCACCCCAAAAAAAAAAACTACTGAAATTTACCCTTCTCTAGATTGTCATATTTACAAATATTCTCTTCTACAACAGTTGAACTTTTTACCTGTAAGGGGTTTTATGCCTAGATAACAAAGCCCTTTTCCACATATATCTCCTGGAAGAAACACTTTAAATCCATATCTTGTCCAATCTCTTACACCCAGCACCTTCTTGTAATCAAAGAAACTAGATGTTGGAAAAGCAGATGAACTAAAATAAAACGAATATGATGGAACCTTCTGATGGCCCAAGAAGTCAAATCCATCAGGTTTTATGTAAATAAGTGCAGCATCTCCACTATTTATTAGTTCAAAAGAAAAATAAATCATCTGTTCTGGATAGTGTGGATTGATGAGAGGAATATATCTCTTAAATTCCAGGTTTCCTTTATTCGGAATATTGGAGTCCACAGATATGTTTTGCGGAATATCTATAACCGGAACTGAAGATATTGCCTTGGATGCGTTTTCTCCATAAATATAGGGGTTTCGTAAGTAGTTGGACACCTAAATTAATATAATGTCAAAATCAGTAATTCTTTTTGTTACCTTTACTTTCCTTTAAACTATTTTTGATTCACTTCTACTATTCCAGATATACGCTGATATTATTCTCATAATAATAAATTGTTGATATTAAATTTTTCGCATAAATGAAATAATATTAGATTAAATATCAGAAATTACTGCAAATTCAAGGTAGGATGTGTGGTTGATTGAGCCATTCACTTCACGTACACCTCCAAAAAACTCATCTCTGGCATTTTCAAGATCGTTGACGTGGATTTTCCTGATCATTATTTCCAGTACATGATTAGCATTCCAGAAAAGCCGTTCACCCAAAACAATAGTTTTGTGCATGACATTTAAAAATATGGTCTGAATTTGTTTTATAATTGGGATACATTTTCTTGCCTGAAATATATGTAAAATAACTTATTTTTTTCCTTCCAATACAATATATAAAGTAAATCAAAACAAACAAAATATATTTCTTTCATTTCATATTGTAGCTGTCAAATAAGATTAATAAGGTAGAAGTAATCAAAATTTACATTTGTAATATTTCTATATGAAATTGATTATAAAGCATTATTTTTCTCTACCCTTGCAGGAAAGAGAACTTTATTTAATGCTGGACAGACAATTTTGGGAAGGTTACTAATAAGCTTATTTGTAAATATAATTAATTGCATACCGTTTCTCTCTGCTGAAGTTGAAGCTCTCGCTCGTGTGCTTTTATTTGATAAATAAAATCAACTTGTCTATTAATGCTTTGGTAGTCAGAAGTTATGTTCCCTTGATTTTGTTTTAATAGGCCGGTTTCTTGGAGGAAGAACTTGATGTGCAACATGATTTCCGCTTTTATATCGTCTTCAGAAATTTCAACATCCAAGTTCTGAAGCTTCCTTGGTAGCATTTTGTTCAAGACATTGTCCAGTACACGATGATAAACTATCATGAACATTTTGAAATTATTAACATTATAGAGAATAATGAGTTGCCATTAAATATGCTTAGAAATGATTATATGAACATGAAATTATTCTCTTGTTATCTTTTTTAAATTGATCAACCCATTTATGGATTTAAAATCATTTTGTGTATTTAGCCTTTAGTGGCACTAGGCATTATTGAAAATGGTCTAATCAGAAATACGTAAGATAACTCATTTCAAGTGTCTAAAAAATAGAGAAATTAAACATTTATACGTATATACTAGTAGCAAAAAATTAACTTGAAAAATTTGTAAGACTTTAAACATGTAAAACATGTGAGCAAAACATTTTTATTATTGGAGGTCTTTAAACTCTGAACAGTCTACAGCCTTGCCATTAGCAATGTCTGTTAACATTTCAACTGCACTCGGAGATAGAGGAGTTCTCCTGCTGCCATATTCCAAACAATCAATAACAGTGTCCACAATGTCTACCGTTATGTTCTGTTTAAAATGGATTCATTCATATAAGTTTATTAACATTTAACTTAAAATTTTGAAATGTACAGATAATAACACTGCTTATTATATGAATTATCTCTCATTTAATAAAAGAAATTAATGTTATCAGAGAGAAATTACAGTAAAACTTGATACAACTACAAACCACTCCTTTCAAAGACAAATACGGTTCAAAGCGAGTCAAAGCATCCAAGGTGCTGAAGATCTGCTGTATGTCTGTTAATTTGAATCTGTCGATGAAATGTGCACAGCCAGGGGTAACAATGCCTTTGACCAGCTGAAGAAGCTTCACGGTTTTCTGTTTTTGAAAAAAAAATGCTTGTCACGAATTGTAAAGGTAATCAACAGTTTGAAGATCATGTATTTTATGTTATTACAGTCTACCTGTATATAAACAAGAAACACAGGTCCCCCTCCGGATGTGTCGATATTAATGGACTCTGTATCACCGTTTACCTCTTCTTCAGATGTTGTTTTGTCAACCTTTAAAAAAATAATAAAGAAACATAAACTTTGAATTTGTTATTCTTTCCTGCGAAAACTCCTCTCCATAAAGTTTTACGCACATTTTCAATGTATATTTGGTAAGTAAGCAGTCATGAAATCAAGTACGTACAAACGGAAATTGTTTGAAACCGGCTGCAACAGCTCCTAAAAAACTCAAGGTTTGAATGTCATTTCCTGACAGCTTGTAGTTGTTGAACTTTGAATCAAAGTTTTGAAACGAGGACTCAATTGTGGAAACATCTTCTAAATCTTTTGGTTGAGATATCATAGGCGGGATGACCTATATAATTTAGACATTACACGTCATATATGTATAACTTCTTGCAAAATAAAGAATGCTTTGTTTATTAGAAAAAAATCAGTCAAAATAGAGAAATTCTGAGTTTTATTGATCTGAACAAAAACATTTTGATATATAACAGACAAAATTAAATTAACAAGGACAATACTGTAATATTTGAAGAATGTAGTGCATAATCTCCATAGATGTCGAAAATCCGAACTCGGACAGTAACTGTGTATTTGAAAACTGGATCTCCCGGCTGTACAGGGACATCTAATATGCTACTCTCGCCTTAAATAAAGATTACAATAGATACTTCTGCGCGAATAAACAACAATAAGGTGACCAGGTAAGCTATGAATCAGGTTCTTTAGAAGGTTTTAGAATAAACAGAGCACCATTACAACTGGGGCTCGTTTCTCAAAAAGTCGTAGATTTGGGCCTAAGTTAGTCCGACTAAAAAAGTTACGCCAAAATTTAGACGGGTCTAAATCGCATTTCAGAAAGCGGCGTAAGACTGGGCATAGGACTAAGACTTCTCCGCTAGGTACTAAGCATGCGCAGATCGCATTTTATTTGGTTTAGAGACTACAGTGACATGTGGCGGATCAAAATAATATTACACTTGAACCTAAATAAAGGATGCAAAGCACAGGAATCATGAGCACGCTTGCATGTTTTCCCTTTTCGCCGTCTTTCAAACAGATCTATTACGCAAACCCATCTGTATTTTCAAGTTCAAAGCATTAACGTAGCAGCGGATTCAGAAATCTTGAAAAAGGGGGCAGACTGGGGTCGGGTTAGGCGCCCACAGCAACACTAAACAAAACTGATTGAGTAAATCTTTTATTATAATTTTGGACACAGCCTTCCTCCCCCTCTACATCCACAAGTGTTATATTAGATATCTACATTAAAACCAAATGATGTGCATACAGATTATACATACATGTACTTGCTAAATTTTGAAATAAAGAGTAATTTTCCTTTATCATGTATATGTGAGTAAAAGTCATATATGGCTAGGCTGGACAGGCTCATAGCAAAAGTTTTGAAAGTCGGGGGGAGGGGGGGGGGGCAACCAGTATCTGAACAAGTAAAAGAGCCCCCGACCAACAGACGTACTGTCAAAAATTTATCAGTTATGAAATCATAATTATCATAGAAAGAATTATTAAAACATATGGATAAGAGAATGATTTTAAAAAATAATCAGACCTACACATGGTTTTCCTTGGCTCCCGTTTTTTTTTTAAATTTAGACGTAAATAAACCTCAATGAAATTTATGTTTTGTGCAAGAATAAAATTTATATATTTATTTTATCTTTATATTGGTTTAAGTAATATGCAGAGAATTAAGAGTTTTAAATACCTTATTTTTAAACAAAACTTCAAAAATGACATGTTTGACGCAGTATATATATATAAGCGACGATTTTTTATACGTGCGAGCCTTGAACAAGAAAGAAATTGACAATGTAAAACATTTTCTGAATATGTGCCTAGAATAGCCCATACCATATACCAGTATAATTCTTTATAAAATTTCAATCAATCTATTCAAAATGAACTAGACATATATTGGCAATCTAGATGATACATGCACCTGCATTTATGATACATGTATTACATTTTGGACATACAGTTTTACATTGATATCGTTATGATAATTTACAAAGGCCATGTAGAAATAGTATATAATTATGTATATACACCATTTGCATTATTAACACTCGCATTCTCAATTTTAATGGAAATATTTAGAAAATAAAAATTACTAGATTTTTTGCCTGCAATATGGTTCACAAGAATTCGATTTAAAACTATTAAAGTAATATACGCTATAACGTGCGCCATTTTAAAATACGGCTGGAAATTTATATATTTTGTTTACCAATAAAAGTTACGAAAATGCTGTAAATTACACCATTTAAATAAAACGTTATAAAGTTATCAAATTATAATTATTTATTATCCTGCAAGGAGAATAATGCTATTTTAAGTAAATCCAACACGCCGTCGCTACTTTTAGATTGATAAACAAACACGGCGTCAAGAAAACGAGGTAAGCCCTTTGAGATACAACTCACTTTTGACATGGATGGCGTGTTACTTTTAATATAACTTATCTTTAAATGTAATCAGTATCAACCATCTATACTCTGTTATGACACATATTAACCTTTTATTAATAATCGTTGTCAAAATGCAACGTGGACATACGTGTCTATATTTAGACCTACTGTTTACGCACTTCCTTTATCAATATTCATGAAAAGACTGAATTCTTGATTGCAGATATTGCTTTATTGTTCTGTTATTACAACGAGTTTTATAGTTAAATTTTGTGGAAATATTATTTTTTCATTACACTTTATGTGTTTCAAATCATTTAATCATTTTGTTTCACATACAAATCGGCATCCATACGGCGTATATTACTTTAAGCTTTTGCAAGCCATTAATAAAAAAAGATTAACCCATCTACACTTCTCATCGGCACCTCTCGACAATGAGTGAACAGTCTTATGAACAGAATACTTTAAGTATAATACTCGAACATTTTACAAATTCAAATTTTATTATGTTGTAGAGGGAAATCAAAGAAGCATTGACTTGGTTGATGGCATAGTTACCGAATATTTCTCATTATCTAAAATATATTTTTAAAAATGAATATTAATTGAGGATTTATTGAATCATTATTCATTTAAAAAATTATCCAGGACCTGGCATCGTTTTTAAAAAGTGAATGGCGATGGGGGAAAGGGGGGGGGGAGTAAGTGACCATAATATTCAGCAGAGAATAGAAATGCTGAATCTGGGCGTCAGCCCATAAATTATACACCTTTTTAAACAGAAAACGCATTATTGCAATTTAAAAAAAACAAAAAAACGGGAGGGCTGTAGCCCCCACCCCCTCCCACAACGCGTGCCTACATTTTAAAAAAATAAAATCTGATACTTCTTAAATTTCCACCCAATTAGAATTCAAAATTCTTAATTACAAATTTTTAGTTCATCCCACATTTTGCGGAAAAAAGTTTGCATCTCTACTTGTCTACATAATGTTACATGTGCATGTTGTTTATTAAATTTCATGATTTTTCGCATATCATATAATTATGTGCATGTATATGAATAGGTATTATATCGCATAAGTATAAAATAATTATGGTTTTAAACTCTTTATGATTAAAACACTTGCCCTTTTCCCAAGTTGTATACAGACTAAGAACCTGCGCCTACTCATGAGGAGGCCTAGATTTAAACCCAAATTTAGTCTCGACTAAGTCTCCGCCTTTTTGTGAAACGCAACTTAGTCCGAATTCCGGGTTTAGTCACTGATTTAGTCCGGACTAAGCTTACGCCTGGTCGTAGGCCTTTTTGAGAAACGAGCCCCTGGGACTCGTTTCTCAAAAAGTCGTAGATTTGGGCCCAAGTTAGTCCGACTGAGAAAGTTACGCCAAATTTTAGACTAGCCTAAATCGCGTTTCAGAAAGCGGCGTAAGACTGGGCCTAAGACTTAGACCTCTCCGCTAGGTACTAAGCATGCGCAGATCCTATTTTATTTGGTTTAGAGACAACAATGACATGTGGCTGATCAAATTAATATCAAACTTAAACTTAAATACAGGATGTAAAGCACGAGAAGCACAAGCGCGCCTGCATGTTTTCCGTTTTCAAAGTTTTTCAAACAGATAATCATATTACGCAAACCATCTGTGTTTTCAAGGTCAAAGCATTAACATAGTACCGAATTCAGTAATTTTGAAAAAGGGACAGATTGGGGTTTGGTAAGGGACCCACAGCGACACCAAAAATTGATTGAGTAAATCTTCCGTTATTATATTGGACACATGCCTTCTATCTCCCCGCCTCTACATCCACAAGTGTTATATCAAATAATTAATGGTATTTTGATATGGTCAGAAAAATTTTAAACGTGAAATCTATACATTAGAAAAACATAAACGTGTACACGATTGTGATACTAGTATTTCTATATACATTTGTAAATGTTATGTTGAGCAACAATTTTGAAAGGCAGGGGAGGGGGCAACCAGTATCCAGAGAAAATTTTTCTCTAGAGTGAAGGGGCGGAGGTCCCGGTCCCACGGTGTACTACTATGAAAATTTTAACAATTTTGAAATTATATCATAATTTAATAATAATTATTAAAACATGAATGAAATTTTTGAAAAATGTATCAGTTGTCTTAAATTTATATTTTCAATCAATTTTTTCAATATACCTCTATTCATAATGTTGCACTTTGGACATACAGTATTACATACAGTATTTATGTATTAGATATGATAATTTACTCATCAGTCCATGTAAAAATACGTATAAATTCTTGTTATCCACATTACAGCAAGAAATCTAGTAATTTTTATAAATTACTGAAATATTTCTATTTGAATATTTTCAAATCAGAATTATTTAGATCGGAAAAGGTACAAATTTCAACATCAACATATTTTCCTTAAATCTAGACGCCATTCCTTTCCAATTTCTATCGAGAATATTTCAAACAATATTTTTTAGATGCAGGATGTTTCTTGAAGATCTAATTTAGAATTAAAGATATTAACAAGTCGTGATTTTCATACTCGTAAATAGTTTTTTGGATATTTTCTGAATCTCATTTACAATAAAACATTTTTCAACACATTATTGAGTAGTTTTGTTTCAAATGTAATAGGATTTATTTATCTGCTCATAAATCTATCAAAAGGACCCCTTTAACCTTAACTCGTCTGAGAACAGGCACGTCGCAATAGGGAGGGGGGCTGCCCCCCTTTTTTCCCAACATTACTTTTACTATTGAAAATGTTCATTGACAGGCTGGTTGCCCCCCCCCCCCCCCCCCCACCACCACACACGCACACACACACATTCAAGTGATATCAGGGAAATGTAGTATTGTATGCAAGAAAATTGGTATTGAAAGAAGGTGACATTGAAAAAAAAAGTTAAGAATTAAAGGGGGAAATTAAAGATGCATTACTTAAGTTAAGGTGCATTAACTTGGTTGATGGCAAATTACCGTATATTTCTCATGATCTAAATATATTTTGAAAAATGAATATTGTTTTAGGATTTTATTGAAACATTATCCTTTTCAAAAAAAAAACTATCCGAGACCTAGCATCGTTTTAAAAGTGTAAATGGGGGATCAGTGGGGCGGGCGGAAGGTAAGTAATTGAATAACCTAAGTATTCAGCCGAGATGAGAAATACTGAAAGCAATCAGCCCATAAATTATACAGCTTTTTTTTTAAA